GTTTGACTTAACTTTGTAATCTGTTCTAATTCTGCAATTCTAACCTCAAGTTCGTCTTTTTCTTTTGCGATCTGTTCCAATTCTTTGACTCTAGCCATAAGTCTGGCATTCTCCTGTTTCAATAAATCTAGTTCAGATTTGGAGTTTCCCATTGTTTTATATAAGATACAGATATGTTCAAACGTTTGTTTATATAAATACTGCAACAAAATGTTTTAATCGGATTTATAAATGCAAATAAGTGAGATTTCGTGATCAGGCTTTTCCTCCTGAGTTAGATACCCACTATTATAATTATAATACCATATTAAATATCATGCATAAAAAAACTATGACAAAATGTCATGATCATATCGATATGTATTCAGAAATATACATGCCATATATATTTTTGTATAATTACAAATAGCACGAAGGAAATATTCACGTTTTACAAACCAATATAACCTGCGAAATGAATTGATACTTTATTTATTAAATTTATTATACTGAAAAAGCATCCATAAATATGCATTTCTCCGGAAATAATAAGTCTAATCTATATACTAATCAGTACGTCTTCGTTTGTATGCATGATTACTCTCAATATGTTTCATCATATCATATACGCTAGTCAAGGTTTCTGAACAGTAAGGACAATTGTGTGGTGTATTATTTTCAGTTGGTTTAGGTGATACCGATTCTCGCTGTAATTAACCCAAAAATATTTTTTTCTTGATAGTTAATGCTTTTAATTTCAAATAAAAAAATTACAGTATGTGCACGTGACAATTTGTCACGCCGATCACTTTTACCAAGAAATATTTTTAAAAATTCTCGATCATATGCGAGTTATACATTGATACCAATACAATAAAACAAATTCACGAAATACACATGCAAAAGTAAACACGATTATGTATGCGAAATCAGTCACTAGGACCAGCTTTTATTAATATAAAAATCAAAATAAAGTACATGATAAAATACAGAACACAGAAATTCGCACATTTAACCAAATAAAGCTTCAGTCCAGTATTAATTTTCTGATAAAAAAAAATAACCCGTTATTTTGCTAATCTTGATTTAGGATACTTCGCTATTCACGATACTAGTATTTATCAATAAATCGGATACGTTAGATTAAAAATTATTTAAATATACAAAAACAAACAAAAATAAAAATAAAAATAAAATGAGCATTCGTTAGTTGGTAATCCAGGTCACACCACGTGGAGGTCAATGCCCGAGTGACCCGTGTACCACACTTTGGTGGATTTGGAATTAAGGACAGGGGGAAGTGTGGGATATAAGTTTATGGACAAGAAACTTAGGATGTGATCCTCTTGTCATTAGAAGAAGATTTATAGGCGAAAGTAAGGATAAATACCTTCCCTTCGACTATCGAGAACCGTATTAAGAATATAAAGACGAAACTTGTATTTATCTGACAAGAGGACCACTGGATCCTTAGCCGTTTCGGCTACACGTATTGAGACAGGGGAGAATGTTTCCATAGAAGAAGCAACCACGATGCCAACGACAACTCCTCCATGTTCTTCAGCATATCTTCGCGTGACAGATTCATGTGCGTAGATAATGCCGGCTTCTAAAATTTTAAATTCATTATCGTT